TAGATAGAGAGAGAGAGAGAGAGAGAGAGAGAGAGAGAGAGAGAGAGAGAGAGAGAGAGAGACAGACAGACAGACAAAGAGACAGACAGAGAGACAGAGGGAGACAGAGAGAGTCATAGAACAGGAGAGCGAAATATATAGAAAGGAGACAGCATTAGAATGCAAGAGGGAGACCTGTGGATGTCTGCCAAAAACTTCTCGGCCTGCGCCTGCAGCAGCGGGAACTGCTGCATATCTGGAACAACGCGAATTCGATGTTGCTGCTGCTGCTGCTGCTGCTGCTTAGGCATTTGCTGCAGCACGTGAGACAGAGGAGGAATCAGTAGCTGCTTATCAAGAAAAGGCTTCCCGCTTATCCTCCATTCACCTTCAAATGCGCTGCTCTCTGTAGGCTTGCGCTGGCTGCTGCTGCATGCAAAACTGACAAACCCTAAACCCTAAACCCTAAATCAAGCAAACATACAAACAAACTACGTGCTGCTGGGTTTGCTGCTGGATCTGCTCCTGAGCTTGTTGTTGCAGCTGCTTTCAGATATGCAGCTAAATCCTAAAACAAAACAAACGAAGTTTGCTTCGCTTGTTTGTTTTATTATTAGACAAACAAACAAATATAACACGTAGTGCAACAGCAACAAAAACCTGCGGCTGAGGTTTCAATGTACCATATCCGACAACAGCTGCTGCAGCAAACTCATTTGCAAACTAAACAGCAAGCTGATGCAGCAGCAGCAGCAGGAGCAGCAGCTCCTGCTGCTGCTGCTCCAGCTATTACTGCTGTTGGTTCTTCTGTTGCATTTTCTACGGCAGCTGCAACGGAGTGTCCTCCACTGGTATCGGGTGTTCAGTCTTCGACCTGTATTTATTTCCTTATATATATATATAATATATATATATATATATAATATATATATATATATGTACGTAAAGAAATATATGTACATATATGTATCTTTACACTGGTGGTTATATTTACATTTATATGAAATTTCTGTTGAATATTTACAAGTAGTCAGGGCTCCTCAGCAGCAACAGCTCGAAGCTGCGGGGAGAAGGCGTCTCTCGCGAATCCTAGTGTAAGTAAGAGGCGTGTTGTGGTCTAGGGTTTAGGGTTTAGGGTTTGACGCTCAGAGCGCTCACCGCTGTCTGGTGCTGCAGTTGTCAGCGACCGGAGCAACGAGAGGGATGGGGAGTTCTACGCTTTCTGTAGCAATCGGCATTATGGGTATTTCTTTCTATGTGCCGAGACACCTGAAAGAGTGAGTGAGTAGCAATAGTTAAAGATAGCAGCTATTAGCGTAAGCGGCAAGCGAAAGGGTTTAAGAACATAAGATCAGAACAAGTGCAATTTGAATAGAAATGGCAAAACAAAAAAGCGACAGTTAAGATAATAATAAAAGAAAAGAGCAGATAAGGCTTCCTAAGAAGCTAATCGATGCGCTCCGGGGCCCCTCCCCTCCCAGCTGAGAGTGCTTGTATGGGGTTGAAGGGGAGTCTGACGGGCTCGGAACAGCGAATTTTACTATAAATTATTTTAATATTTATTTTCATATTCAAGGACAACAAAGAAAAACAGCTGCAGCGGCTTGTACTGCGCTGATGATGCCGCAGGCATCAGCCCCAGCAGCCAAACTGCAACAGCCCTCACACCGAAATTCAAGGTTAGGACAAAGAAGAAAAAAGAGAAATACCAAAGTGAAAGGGGAATCAAACACTCGAAAAACTCTTTTTAAGGTCGTGATTCACCAAAATTCAAGAAAAAAAAACAGTAAAGTCGTCTATCGAACGAACAACCGCAGCCAGAACCGCACACTCACAAGCATAGGAAACAGGCCGAACCATGCAGAGGGATACAAATTCATGCAGATAAAACCCCAGAAATATGAATAATTAGGGGGTAAATAGTTGAGAAAGAAGACGAAAGAAAGAGATTTTGCCTCCATGCAGCACGCGGATACTGCCATACAGAGAATCTCGAAAAACTTTGCCAAAGCGATTACATATTAATATATAATAGAGATTTCCTCCTCCCGCTTTCTCTGCAGGCCAATGCAAACTGATTGAGGTGTACGTACACTCCAACTGTTTTTCCTGTGCAGGCCTGGGAATGCAGCAGTCAGAAGAATTAAACTGCATTTTAGGTTTCTGAATATTTGCCAGATTTCATTGGTCTTTTTCTTCTTCATCACTTTCTCCTGACTTGCCACCATCTCCTTCATAATATCTTCTGTATTCTTCACCGTATTCTCCTCCTTCTTCGTCGCTAAGCTTTGCGCTGAAGCTGAGTCCAAGGATATCCTCTTCATCAACTTGAAAATCATCATCATGAATAGGATCGGTTGTTGCAGGACCTCTTCGATTTCTCATGTGCTGTCTTTGAAGGGCCCTCGCTCTGCTCTGCATTTGAAGCCATCCATTAACACCGCTCTGCCTCTGATGAATTTCTGCATCGGTGAGTTCCGGTTCGTAGTCAACTGTGGTAACTGGCCCAGTAAATGTTCTACGAACAAACGGCCTCTTCTTTAGATCGTCAACATTAATAGGAATGCCTCGTCGCCTTTGACGATGTAGCCCTTGAATACGAAGCCTCTCCTCTACCGGATGATCTGCTTCCTCTCGAAGCTCTCGTAGCAGCTGGGGTACTTCAAGGTAAGTGCCTTTCCCACCTATACTATAGAGAATTTTTTGACGCTCACTTGCTGACATCTTTGTGTTCGTCTGAAG